ACCATTCTATTCCTGTTATTTATTTATTTGTTCTTTTCTGTATTTGAATCTCAGATCATAGTTGCCAAGAAAAGTAACACCTGTGTTTGTCAAACTTGATCTCTACTACTGTACTGTTGAAAATTGGTATTCCAAATGGATTACCGGATCGTTTGTTGTTATTTGGCTGTGACATTTTTATACCATTTCGGTGAGTTACATTTTATACTTATTAATATTATTTTTAAAATCATCGTACTTTTCTCTTTTTTTTATTTTCTAATTACACATTTTATACTTTTGCTGTGTTAACTTGATTGTTCTTTGGTTTTTTTTTCAAATTTTTTTTCCTTAATTTTTCTACTCTTTTTTTTCTGGAATTTTAGAGCTTTTTTTAACTAGCATATTACTAACGAGAATAGTTTTATTATGATGGTTTTATGATCATCTCACTCTATATTCTTGCTTATTATAACGGATTTTGACAATCCTTGAATAATAGGAGTTTTTCTCCTTATAAATTCAGCTTTATTTTTTGCTTCTTACTTTTAATTAAAGTTTTCTGGTCTTTCTCAGATTACTTTTCCAAATGTTGATAGCTTGTAGGCTGCAGCTAATTATGCTTCATCATTTTTGCTTTATTTGAAGCACTAAACTTGGTTAATATATAGGTGAAAAACAACAACAACGAATAGTATGCCATTATGAAAGCAGCAAAAAAAATTTTGATGATTATTGTCAGTAATACATCATAGATTTATTTCTGGTGAAATTTGAAAAAAAGAAGGGAATTTCTGTGGTATTCCGAGTAGCATAAGTAAAATTTAATTGAGAATAAAGCTCTATTTGCACTAATAAATGCTGTAGGATGTACGGGATGGGGAATCAAATATGCTGGAATTGCATTTGATTCTGAAGTTTTGGAATGGGTTAGGAGAGTATCAAAGACGAGAATAATCTTATCTTCATCATTAAAAATTTAGGACATTGATGGACTTGTGTTTAGCTGCGAGATGTTCAGAAAGATTGATAAAAGGTACAGTTGAACTAGTTCAACGGAATAAGTTTGGGGTGGCTCTAAAACCTACTTAGATCTTCCACCTTTTTAAGCCTTGTAAAGTTCGATCTTAGCGCTTTCACCGAAATTTTTTTTTCAGCATTTTTTACTCTTATCGATTCAATATAAGAATATTGTCTGGTACAGCTGTTAAAACTTCTTTAAGTGTCAATTATTCTATAAAGTTTGTTTGTTATTTTCTTCACGCTGTCTCTAATAAAAACAGTAAAAAAAGAACAGATAAATTTAAATTTGTACATAGAAAAACAATAGGGCACAGAGTTTATAGGTGTTTAAGAAATTAAAGAAGTATTATTTGATTTTAATGAAAGAAATATACACGATTGGTATAGGCGAGTTTGACATAAATTAAAGCCACTGCTAACTATCAGTGTATTATCGGTACAAAGATAATTTTGCTTCAACTTTACTCAACAGGAACCGTTTTTTTATCTTCATTTATGCTCTCAATTACTTTAGTTATTGTACTAGACATTAGTTTACGAACGAATAACGCTTTTCTTCTGCTGTTATTTTTCGTTTTTAAAATAAAAAACAAATTGTATTCGTTTTTATCATTTTTTCTCATTTTTTGCTAATTGTGATGAGATAATGACTAAAGGAAAAGAATTTTTTTAATCATTTTTATAGGTGTGTTTCATAGGACAGAGATCATAAACCATTGACAAATTGCAATTTTTTTGTTGCTTGTTTTCCACTAAGGTATGATAATTTAGAAAGTTTTTATGATAAGCGACTGAGCAGTTAGGTGCTTCTGAAAGTAATTGTAAAGAAGAGAGTCTGATTTTCTTTATCAACGCACACTTTTAAGCCAAAAATTAGTGCAACAGTTTTAACTGATGGATATAAAAATTGGTCATCTTAATTTTTTATTCGCTTTCTTCTCTTTTTATTAGTACATTATTAATGCTTTATTATCCAAATGAATAAACAGATTGATGAGGTTTTCTTATGAATTTTTATTTCTTCTGTCGAATTACAGTCAGTTGTTAAAAAAAGCGGAAAAATCAGATAGTAGTATAGTTCCTCAACAGAGTCGCAGCTGTATAATCATTTGCCAGCTATTAAAACAGTGACGCTGACAGAAACTTAACATATTTGAGTTAACTACTCAACTATTGTAGACATTTTTTTGCATGTTACTTTACCATTATTTAGGAAAGTCAATTTTTTGGAGCTGAACATGTAATCTTTCTGTTTCGTCTGAAAACTACTTGCTGTTTTATGTAATTTTTGCTTTTTTTTTATTTTTTTATTTTCTCTTTATTTTTCGTTTTTGGTGCATTTTTAACGTTAAAACTCTTCTCATCTTAGATAATCGAAAAATTTATTTTCGAAAGAATTCGATTTTGTCTTAGTGGCTTTATGTCGCACTCAATTAACTCCAAATTTTTACATGTTGTTTAAAATGTTTCTGACAAACTAAGTTCACTGGTTTTTTCTTTTGTTTTCACCTCTTTCTTCTTTTTTTTTTTTTCTAGTCGCTTGATGTATAATCAACTAAAAGCACCGGGTAAACGAAGAAGTTATTTGCCTTATCAGGAAACAGAGCACTTACAGTTAGCTACTGTTCTGTACCAAATGTATAGTCTTGTTTTTTTTTTTTTTTTTTTTTTTTTTTTTTTT